GCATGTCATGTGTCAATATTTATTGACGTGGACTAATAAAGGAGCAAAAATACCTATAAAATTATCGACCAGGAGCAAAAACACCCATGAAGTCGTGAGTCAGGAGCAAAAATATTCATAATGTTATTAGAGTTGGTGTAAAAGTATCAATCCATTTGGTCCCTTAAATGTTGACCATTTAGTTGACACCTAAATAAAAATTGACTATTTTTTTATTGATATGGATAAAAAAAATTCCTAAATAAATTTTCTGGAGGTTAATCGATCATTATATGAATATTATGTAAGAAATGTTATTTTGATTAAATATTAAATTAAATTATTTTTTTTACAACAGTGGCAAAAACCATTTGAAAATTTTGAACTTACCATAAATAAAATTGCTTAAGGTTGTGACAATGTTCTTAAGATATATGTGCTCAGTCTTGATTTTTAATTTTGTACAACCTATCTCACTATATTGAATTCAGGCTTTACAAACAAAAAAAAATGAGTAGAGAGGGAGAAAGGAAGGGGCGAGATACACAGAGATGAAAAGAAACTATATGACATTAATTTTGATGGATTAGTCACTATTGCACCTACTAGAATAACATGATGGGCACTTGTATGACAATCGATCAATATATGTAAAAATTTATCTGAGAATATTTTTTGTCTACATCAGTAAAAAATAATCAATTTCTGCCTAGATGTTAGCTAAACAGTTAACATTTAAGAAATTAAATGGATTGGTATTTTTGCACTAACTCTAATAATATTATGGATATTTTTACTTCTAATCTATGATTTTGTAGGTATTTTTACTCATGGCTAATGACTTCAGGGGCATTTTTGCTTCTTTATTAGTTCACGTCAGTAAAAATTGACATGTGGCATGCACAGTCAATATTTAACGGTCAAAGTTAATGACGTTAGGTTAAAGTTAACAGTTTAATTATTTTTGCACTCATTCATATAACATTATGAATATTTTTATCCTTTTTTTCACTTTAAAATATTAGGTGCCTGCAGTTGATTAATTTGTAAGTATTTTTGACCTTTTGTCCAAGATAAAAATATTATTAATAAAATTTAAAACTGAACATTGAAATTAAAAAGAAAATAAACATTGACCTACGCTGCATGATCGCAAATTGAATTCAAACTGGATAGTCAATGATTCTGCGTGGTGGTTGCACTATGTACTGGTCTGACTTTATTTATTGGGTTAAAAAATTAATTTTATTTATAAAACATTTATTAATTTTTAATATTTTCTATACATTTTTATTTTTATTAAATATTTTAAATAAAAATATTAATAATAAAATTTAAAATATTTATTAAAAATAATTTAAAAATTTATTAATTTTTAAGATAAAGTTAAGGAGATTTAAAATTTTTTAATTTTGATAAAATATATTAAAAATAATTTATAAATATGATTCGAGAAAATACGATGATCAATGGAGGTAGAGGGTGAAAGTACTCTCCACGTGGCGAGAGATTGTGAGGATCCACATAAACGTATTGATTGAAAGTTTCCTCTCGCTGTGCACCAAAAAATAGTTTCCTCGTGCTCCACCGCAAGTTTGATGCACGGGCAAGCTTCACTTCTGCGCTGTGCTGGACACACAGGTAACGAAGGAATGGCAGGGTTTTCACAAAGGAATTTAAGTGTCGACATAGTTTTTAATTTGTCAAAAAATTATTTATTACAAATTTATTTAATAAAAATTAATTATTATAATAAAACTTATGTTTGAATATGTTTTTTTTAAATTAATTTGATAAATTAAAAATTGTTTGAATTATATTAATAAAATGTACTTTTGAATGTATAATTGTCAAATAGCACATTAACTTATAATAATTTATAATTTTTATTATATAAATATAATATATTTAAAATATTTTAAAAATATAAAAAATATTTTAAAAAACATAAACTTTGATCTATAATGCTAAAAATTTGATCTTTAATTATTTATACTTTTTATATTTACAATTTTAAAACATGTGATAAAAATTTATAATTTTTAGTATACATTGATGTTAAAAATTAACATAATTAATTATTTAATTTATAATTCTAAAAATTTGATGTCTAATTATTATTATTTAAATGATAATTATATTTTTAATAAATTAATTATTTTTTAAATAAAAGAATAAAAGGTCAAACTTATGATAACATGTTCAAATAACATTTCACTTTTTAAAAGTTATATCATTTCACCTCCATCAAATCCACCAAACTTAGGGTAGTATGTGTTTTATTTTTAATTTACTAAAAATTTATTTAGCAAAAATTAATTTAGTGAAAGTCAATGATTGTAACAAAATTTATATTTGGCTATATTTTTTTAAAAATTAGTTTAATAAACTAAAAGTTATTTGAATAGTATAAGATGAAAGGTATATTTAAAAGTAATAAAATTGTATACATGATATAAAATTTGAAATTTTTAAATTATAGGAAAAATATATTTACATATCTTTATAGCTTGTTTTAATTTTCAATTAATTCCCTACAGTTTATCTTGGTCTCTATAACTTCAAAAGTAATTTTTTTTGAGAAAATCAATAATTCATTATTGATTTAAACCTACAGGAATTAATATATTTAATGGATCAAACTATAAAACTTTAACCCAAACAAAATAAATTGTGGGAACTTAAATTAAAATAGAAAAAACTACAAGAATCAATAGATTAATTTTTCCTAAAATTATAAAATATAAAATGAATAATATAAAATATTTTTAATGATTATTTTTTTATTTATATATAAATAATTCAAAAAAATTCAACTTTGAATCGTCCCCTTAATTTGTCACAACTCTTGTGAGACTCACAAGGAAATAATATTTCATTATTTCTTCATGGCTTTTGGTCTATTTTTGTTCTCATTATTTTATTAAATCATCATCATCATTATTAGTGTCATTATTTAATTTTTACTTTACCCCTCTCCCCTTTCATCATGCACAAGTAAGGAGGCTTTTGGAACCTGCTTTTAAAAAACTCCTCCAAATCAATTTAAAAATATTGACTTTCAACTATATTTTTAATGTGCTTTTCCAGATATGTGCTTTTATCCACCAAAAAAAAAAATCAATCAAACAATTTTTAACTTTTTAAAAGTGTAAATTTACTTTTTAAGTATGAAACTAAGAGTATCTAAGTGAGAGTCGGATTCTCTTATTTGAGAGAAGCCTCCTCTGCCTCTCCTTTGAGGTCAAAGTTTAATCTGAACCGTCCAGATTTAATTATTTTTTTATATTTTTAAAATAAAAATATATAAAAATTATAAAATTTTTTAATAAATATGTTTATCAATTTAACAGTCCAGATTTAATATAGATTATCTAAATTTAATATTAAATTTTTTTATAAATTTATTATTCTATTCAAAATATATTTACACTGTCCAAAATATATCTAAAAAGTCAATTTAAATTTTTTATATTAAATTTAAATTATCTATATTAAATCTAGACTGTTAGATTGATAAGTATATTTATTAATTTTTATATATATATTTTATTTTAAAAATAAAAATGATAAATCTAAACTATCCAAAAATTTAAACAGTTCAGATTTAACCTATACCTCAAAGGAGAGGCAAATGAGATTTCTCTCAAAAGAGAGGAGCTAAGTCCATCCAAATAAATCTTTAAGATATTTTTAAAATGTATTTTTATCTTTTTATTTTTTTACAAATAATATCTTACATTCTAAATGTGAGAAAGGATTTTTTAAAAGTTAACAGTGGGTTATCCAAACATAGCTTAAGAAGTTAATTAAGGTGGTTCAATCAGGGCTTTTGAAAAGTCAAGTAAAGTCTGCACAGGGAAGCGAGCAGGAGAATTAAAACTGCTCATGGTAATGATATTGAGCTATATATCACCTATAGAAGGAAGTGGATTAAGCTTAACGTAGGGGAGCTCTATATCTTGAGTTCGTCGCATTGGATCAGCAGAAAGCCTATGCTTGGTAAGCAGGGTTCAGATCCGTGGTTCTTGAGACACACTGACTTCATGGACGTTACGTTTTCTCAACATGCTTAAGCTTCTGGAGACTAATTACAGACGAGCTCGTGCATCAAATTGAGATAATCAACACGCGTCAATGTAAAACCTCTTAGGGATCAACTAACTTGCCGTGTTCCCATTTTTAAACACATTCAGAGTCCTAAAATCATTTAGGATCATGTAATAGAAAAGATATGGTGAAAAGTGGGAGAGAGAAGCAACCAACCAGAGGTCAAGAGGAATCTAGCAGTGTCTTCTTCCATACAGCAGCTTGCGGAGGGGTATTGTAAGAGACCATAATGGTAATCGGATTGTTGTGGCCGATTCTCTCACAACCTGGCTGTTGTAATTAAAGCGAATGGAGATGAACATGCAGTGTTGAGAGGTCTTATTTTGACGTGGGATTGCAGATTGCAGTTATTGGTTCTTAATCAGTTCCAAAATATGTTGGAGTACTCTTGGAAGGCGCATGTCTCTCATATATATCAAGAGGAAACAACAGTGTTTCAGATGCTGTGGGCCTGTGGCGAAATATGGACCTGTATGGTTCAGCCACTTTTGAAAAGGCTCCGACTCGCTTATGGCCCTTTAAGCAGAACGAGTCTCTGGATCTCAAAATCTTAGGATTCAATTTTGGGCTTTTCCCTTTCGTGTGTGTGTATTTTAAAAGGCATTATCTTATCCATGTAACATAATATAATTCTCTGTAAATCTAACGGCCCCCAGATTTCATTGATGTCATTTGTCGGGTTGCTATTGATGAAGCTTGAAACGAGCAGGTTCAAAGAAGGAGGGTCCCACTTCCACAGCCGCCGCCGCCGCCCCCCGGGGACAGGGATAGCCGCCACGACCTTGCTTTTCAGCCGTCGCATGCAGAAAGTCTGGGACTCCTCAGGCATCCAACGATGATGGTGCATGGGACCACAAGGCGTAGCGGGCACGGGGTCATAGGGAGTGAGTAGTATATTACACGGGGGTGCAGGCAATGGGCTCCGGAGAACGAATTGAACAAGGCAATGGAGAAACTGGTGGGGTGGCTCGTGATCGGGGCTCTAGTGGTGAGTGTGAGAGGCGAACAATGTGGGAGGCAAGCAGGGGGTGCGCTGTGCCCAGGCAACCTGTGCTGCAGCCAATTCGGGTGGTGCGGGACTACCGACGAGTACTGCGGCCAAAATTGCCAGAGCAACTGCAAAGGCAGCGATCCCACCGGAGCCAGCGCTTCGAACGTGCGCGCCACCTATCATTACTACCAGCCGGAGCTCCACAACTATGACCTCATCGCCGTCAGTGCTTTCTGCGCCACTTGGGATGCCTCCAAGCCTTACTCCTGGCGTAGCAAGTATGGGTGGACCGCCTTCTGTGGCCCCGCCGGCCCCCGCGGCCAAGCTGCCTGCGGCAAATGCCTTAGGGTCACCAATACAAGGACCAGAGCTCAGGTGACGGTCAGGATCGTCGACCAGTGCAGCAACGGAGGCTTGGATTTGGACGTGGGGGTTTTCAACCGATTGGACACCGATGGCTGGGGTCACCAGCAAGGCCATCTTATCGTCGATTACCAATTCGTCAACTGTGGCAATGAGTTGGACGACTCCTTCCACCACCCTCTACTTTCCATCCTCCAACCCTGAGCTACCTATTCCCTGCCTTCCTAATAAGTGGCCAGCGCGCTCTTCCATTTCCTATACCTCGGCGGCCGGATCAATTATTAGTTATCTTCTCAATGTATGGATTTTGTTATCCGCTAGCAGTAATTCAATTGTGTGCGTGTTGAATTTGAGGCGTCTTCTCATTCCTTCAATTTTATACTTTGTCATTCAAAATACACATTAATTCCAAACTGTTTCAGTAATGTTATATCATCCAGGATCAACGAATCATTCACTCTCACGCCAATATCTGATTATCATAATTCGGTCGCTGTCAATGTTCAGTTGAATTTTGACCAGATACCCGGGCTTAAAGAATTCAAAGCTAGATCCTCATCCCCCCACATGTTCATTGTAAATTTTGAAATTTTACATTCAAAGCTAATTTGATTCATGTTAATTGAGCACTGACGCCAAGACCAATCCGAAAACCAGCCACGATCAGCCGGCCGCCTAATTTGCTGGCCGCCTTGTGCCATGAGGGGACTGAGTGAGCTGGAGCTGTCACCCTCTCTTAATTTGACTAATTAGCTCTAGACCTCATCACGATACGCATGCCATGTCATTTTATTATCTAGTGTAACTGTGTAAGACTTGCGTAACTTTTATGCTTCTTTACACACACACATTTATATGTTCAACGCTTATCCGTTAATTGGAAAGTAGGTTGTTAAAGAGCAAATGCCAATATGCGAACTTGAACCTATCATACTTGTAAGGTAAAAAAAAAAAAAAAATGTCATGCGTGTCTAGATAGCGAAAGCGGCCACGGAGAAATGGCTCTATCGATCGGATAATTGTCTTCGCCACCAAGATGGCGCACGTAATCTTTTGTCCCGTATAAATAAATTCCTAACTACATCTCAGGGCTCAAACTTTTAATTTTTTTTCCATTTCAGTGCGCTAGATTAACCTGTGAATGAGAACCTAATACTACAAGTAATACACGAGAAAAGTCAAACTAATAACCATATATACGCTGACAGCACTTAACTACATGAATTTCTAAAAGTGTAGCATTGTATATACCAAGCAGCTGGGATTGTAGTCGGGGTCTATAGCAGGGATCACATCGATACCCAGATCCCACCTTGACTGGACCCTGCTTCTGTGAGTTACTAGAAGTAGAAATGACGTGATGTTTAAACTGTTAAAATCATGTAAAAGATGTTGTTGGCTTTATATTAGAAAGAAAGACGACGATGGTAAAAAATTTCGTGCAGAGCTGGTCAGTAAAATCTCCAATGCCTTTTCTTCTTCCAAGTAAATTAAAATTGTAAATTTGAATTGTCAGAATTTGAAGATCTTATCTATCAACTTTATAAGATTTTTTTTTTCCAACCCTTATGTAATTTCAATGAAAAATTTAACGATGAGACGTATCTAAAATATAATATCCTTCCGCAACATATGCTTCGATTGGGAAATAAATATTTAGATGAAGAAGACGACTTGGTATTTGGTCCACATCAACGCTAGCTATATCACTGCATTGTTGCGGAGAATTCGGATTAAAAGTCTAAATTATTTTATTCTTACTTTTATTGTCCACATAGAAGTTGGAAAACTCTTGAGTCTTCTGCATCAGGTGATCATCCAATAAAATTCCAAATATTAATGAGTAATAAACAAGGCCACGAAATTTCATTTCAAATAATATCCACCGTTATTATTCTCCCATACCTCATTTGAATAAAACTGGGGCACTTAGTAATTTTTTTTTTTTTTGTGTGTGGCAATCGTACAAACGTGGGTGGAGTATTTTAATCCACCTATATTTATCTGTATAATTAGTTATTGACAATAAACAAACCCTGGATGCGTTTATAGATTGTCACCCCATCTCAATCAGCAGCTTCGTTAATTATTACACTGTGCGTCGTTTTTGTAGATTTTACTGTTGAACTGAATATCTTTTTTTGGCGTGTTTTTCCCGGCGGCATTAGGGACATCAGCTTCTGTGTTTAACAACATTTCCATAACAACGCTCTGTTTTTTCTTTTTCTTTTGATAAAAGGATGACAATGCCCTGATAATCGTAGGTTAATTACCCCTGAACATTGGGAATGTAAGGTTCATGATACAGAGCATGCTCTGTGAGAGAGAGAGAGAGAGAGAGAGAGAGAGAGAGAGAGAGAGAGATTCCACTAGTTCTTCATCTTTAGAAGTCCCCGACAAGTGACAAAAGCAAGAGGTGGCGAGAGATGAAAAAGTTCCCTCGACTTGTTTATAGACATAGCCTGCGCGCGCGCATTTGAGCCCCTGACCGGCCCCGGAAAGCATAGCGACGATTGTAGTGATATCAACTAAATCAGCAAAGCAAAGCAAGTTATTATTTGGTTTTCTTCTTGTTTGTGTCAATAAAATTCCAAGTATGTTAAAGACACAAATACAAAAGTTTCCAAACTCTCTTACCTCATTTTGTTCAAATGCAAAGATGCAATAAATAATGAGAAGTAGCTTAATTGATTAACGGTGTAAAGTTACCTAAAATTATAAAATTACAAATAAAATTGAAAAAAAAAAACTGAAACCTAAGTGCAGAGTGTATAAAAAATAATTGAGTAATGAAGTGTCTGGGTTGTGTTGTTATTCATTGTTACTTTCTTTTTTTCTCTAAAACTCTATTTATAATGCTCATCAAAGGTCATTGTGTTTGCAAAATTAGGAAGTTGAATGTTTTGTGTCGAGATATCTATTCCTATTAGGCCTAGGCTTACAAATTTTGGGATATGTCTAAGTAATGGCTTCCACATCTAAATAATGGTCTTCTTGACTTGGTCACTCTCAGTATTAAGGGTCATGTTTCCTCTAGGACTCAATGCTTATTTAGTTTGAAAGGTATATTCCAAAATGAACCAAGTTCTAGTTTATTAAATATTTTATCAAGCCTAACTCTATACTTTCTATTATTTTGGGCTTTTATTTGAATGCATACATTTTTAGGCCCAAATATTTCCTTTGATCTCGCAAGTGACCCATGGGTGAAAGAATGCGAAATCCACTTCCAAGACTGATGATTGAGTAAGGCCCAAGGCCTAACACCCGGCCCTGTTGATGGTTGATTCAATTTTCTTCTGGCATAATTATAATCCCAATATGAACAGGGGACATGATAATGCATGCTTGTGTTATAAAGTCAAGCAATAAAATTTGTGAGGGAAAGTGTATATTTCGTAACCTGCTGGTTGATTAAGATGTGGAGAGAGAAAGGATGTGTGATCCCGTCACTTAGAAGTCACACTACTGTAGAATTAGTTAAATAAGATACTCTATACTTATCATTTATTTGAGATAAGTATCAAATATAAAAGGTGGATAATACTTGATGGTTGTTTGATAATAATCATTAAATATATATTTTATTTTATTTTTTGTTGAAAGTATACATATGTATATATATGATGCTTGTTTATTAGCAATGATCAAATATATGCTAAATATATTTGGCATTTATTTATAAAAAAGCATCAAATGAATAATAATCTTATTATTATCTATAATATATAAGTATCTGACACTTGTTTTGAGATAATCGTCAAATATAATAAGCATATATTTAACGATTATTAGCAAATAAATGTCAAATATGATATATTTTATTGTTGTTTCATAATAATTGTTAAGTATTGTGTTTTAAAATTTCCTCCAAAACTATTTTTGATTTGCATTTCACAACACTCAACTTAAGCGAAAACATTCCTAGACCCTCCAAAATCCATATATATTTCATCAATCCAACTGTCGAAAAAACACAAATTCACATTTGAATCTTCATGGGTTTTGGATATTCTCAACTTCAATCTTGCTCATGGGTGCTTGTGTAGGTGGATTCATCACCATTGTGGTTCCCTTTTCTATATTTTTAGTGTCTTCTCTTCTCATTGAAGTTTATTATTGCTTTCCCAATCATTAAACTTTATTTTGAATCCGTGGGTTATTGATTTTGATTTATCATTGTAAATAGGTGATTTCAATGTTAGATTATTTTGACCTTTATGAGTGTTCTTGTTGGTAGGTGTTTGAAATTTAGCTTGTTGGGTACTTGTTAATTTAGCTTGTTGGGTACTTGTTGGTTCTCATTGGTCCTTGACTGATTAATTTATATTTTTTGTTGCTTGAATTGCTAATCTCCATGTTGTCGTGTTTGAATTGATTGAAAATTGATTTTTGTAAAAATAATTTTTATTTTTTAAGTTAATATATGTACAATATTTGAAGTGGATTATATAATTTTCCCTTAAATTTGAATTCCTATCATTGTCTTTATTGGATTACATATATTTTTTGTTATTAATAATATAATTTTTTTTAAAGATATAAAGCTTGAGAAATAATCATCAAGTAGTTATAGTAAATGTTTTACTATAAATTCTTGACAGTCATATTATAATAACCATCAGGAATTGCTTTTTTGGACTAATTAAAAGCCAAACCTAAAAATCAATATTTGATGGTTATAATTATTTTTAAATAATTATCATTAAGACCTCAATTACTTAACGATTAGTATATGACCGCCTTTACTTGATATGGAAAAAAAAAAAGAATAACTGTGAAATATAAGGGGTTTTTTGTGATAGCGTCACCAACAAAGAGTTTAACCCATTCAGGGGTGCATGAGTAATTACATAGATTTTCTCTCCCGTACGTGTTTGAAAATTGAACATCCAACAAAAGCAGTGCAAGTTTGGAAGCTTCAAAGTTTGCGGGAGCGGTCAATGAAGATGGCGGGCAGGATAAGGAAACTTCGCTGAAGCCGCCGGTTGTTGCATAACTAGCGGTGAAATGACTTGCATATGTATTATAAATGCCAATAACGGTGGTGGGTCTATATCCACAATTAATGCCCTGAATCAACTGCCGTTCTAACTCCTAGAAACCTTAGCTATGTGACGTAAGGATGTAAGGAAGAGAGTTTGAAATTTCAATTACAATTATTAAAGTGCTTCGAGGAAGGTCGGTCTCTCCTGTAATCCCTTAGCATCAGCCTTGCATTAATTGCAGCTTGTGAGTAATAATAAGCCTGAACTTTGGTAGTAACCGATGGACGTTGGCAGCCTTGTCAACCAGGAGGGTGAAGATTCTTCACATATCCTTCACCGGCTGCTCAACATCGTCGTCATTAATTCAGCGATATGTGTCCAATATCTTAACACGTTAAAGTTATACTTAACTCATGTATCAAAGCTTTTTCTAACAAACATCAATTGGTTTTCAGATATGGAGCTACTGGTCTATCCCATTCGACGTTAACCGTGGGAGAAATAAATTTGAATAATCCTCCTTTGTCTTCATTTAATAATTATTAGTTGCTAACTTCTTTCACATTTCTGCTTACGAGTCATTTTACAAAATTTATGAGGTAATTAATATCTTTTTCAATGGTGCTCTTATGGATATTTTTGAATAATTATGGTGAAATTAAATAAGGAGTGAGAGAGATGCGTAAGATTATATTAGAACTAAATAAGCCAAAAAAAAAAAAAAGACTCCCAATGTCTTTAACAGTTCGGGACGACTAATCGTTTGGAGGGAGTACAAATGAAGTCCATATATGATAAGAATATATTTTTTATGCCATATATTATATTAGAATGTATTGCATTGAATAATTAAAGGTAAATATTTTTGAAGATGTGGAAATTAAATTTTAAGAATATATTTTAACTAACCTTTTTTATTTGTGGGAATTAGATAGTGAGATAGAGCTGATCAGGTAATTAACTTTCAAATCCTTCCCTAATTCATTGGCTGGGCAGTCGTCTTTTAGGGTAATTTCCACTCGCCACACGAGACTCGTGTTTCTTTTCTACGTTTTTACATGTTGTGGCATAAACTTTGTGCTCATGTTTCTTATGCTGACAGTTGTTGAGCGCGTTAAATACGTTGTGCGACTCTGCGCCTTGACGGGCTATTTGGCTGCCGTACGCAGAAGTAATGAATTTTTGAAAGTGTTAGCTCTAAGATTCGAACCGGGAGGTTGGACGAACGGAAGAAGTGCGAAACACATTTCTTGATAATACCAAGAGGGACCAATCCCACGAGGCTCGATGATTTATTAGTCCATACAATATAGCACTATAAGTGGGGTTAGTTACAATTCATGCCTCTGTGATTTGGCATGGAATAATGGAATCAATTTGGCCACAAGTGGTCTAAAATGTGCGATTCAGCTGCTTTCTAATTCGTGTGAAACATGTTAACTACCTCACTTTAGTTCTCTTAGTAATTAAATTAAATGATAAGTAAAATAGCCATACGAAAGTAAAATGAAGCAAGAGCAACTTCATCGTCAGTGTTATAGGTTATGCTACCTGTATTTGAAGTAATTCCAGAACGGCTAGAATAATGCTGAATTCAGCGGATTGATGAGTGAAGAAAAGAAGCGAGAGATGCGCGTGAAGGGGGCACTGCGATTGTAACTTGACTTGTAAAGGGGTTCCACTCGAGGACAAAGAAAGAAAGAAAGAAAAGTCAAAGAAGAAATTAAGGAGGCGGCGAGGATAAGGAGGGGTAATTTGATATTTCTATAGAGCTGGGGTGGCCTATAAAAAGAGCTGCGAGAGAGCAAAATCAATATATTTCATCGATATCCATCAATGGCGAAAGTGAGCATAAGCAGCGTATTGTGGGCGTTGTGCGTGGCGAGCGCGGTGGGAATAGCATGGGGACAGAGCGCCACCAATGTGAGGGCCACGTATCACCTGTACCAGCCTGAGCAGCATAACTGGGACCTCATGGCCGTCAGTGCTTTCTGCTCCACCTGGGACGCCTCCAAGCCCCTCTCCTGGCGCAGCAAATACGGCTGGACAGCTTTCTGCGGCCCCGTCGGCCCCCAGGGTCAGGCCGCCTGCGGCCGCTGCCTCCGCGTCACCAACACCCGCACCGCGGCCCAACAAACCGTCAGGATCGTCGACAAGTGCAGCAACGGCGGTCTGGACCTCGACATCGGAGTTTTCCAGAAGCTCGACACCGACGGCAACGGCAACGCTCAGGGTCACCTCATCGTCAACTATGACTTCGTCGACTGCGGCGACTGATCCATCCATCCGATATCCTCCGTATCTTCTTATAATAAAAGCACTATACATGTACATTAGTGCTGCTCTTGTTATCAGATTGTGCCGATAATAATTTGCTTGACGAGTTCATTCTACATATAATTATACCGCACTTCTCCGGCCAGCTCTGCCATCTGTTTCCCTGTTTCTTTTCTTGTCCTGGCACCTCTTCCGCTGAATTATATTCCCAGCTAGCATGCATGATCTGTTCAGTTTCCTCGGCTTAGATAACGATACACGCGTAAGCATGTATGGTAAAATTAAAATGGCAGCGCCATCAATATATATATATATATATATGTATGTAAGTGAGGACGAAAAGAAACCGAATAATGGCAAAGGCAAGCAGCCCTTCAAATAATTCACTAGTTCCTTGCCTGAGTTTGTTAGCACCATCAAAGCTCGAGGAATGGAGCCGGGCGGGAAAGAAATTAAGCGGCATTTATATATCGTTTCATTAAATGCGTGCGAGAGTATGCATTGTCGCGACAACTTTTCGTGTTCAAGTTTCCTCAATGGATAGTCTTTCTAACTTTCAGGCAACCAGCCAGGACCAATTAATCGACGCTATATATATATATATATATCAATGGGATCACGTTGAGGTGTAAATGTATTCATTGAAACTCTTGATGCTGAACTGAAATTTAACGCCTATTAACCCTAGTACAGGGCTGAAGTGGACGTTCGTATTGTCCTGTTCTAAAGTTGTTGGCTGCCCCGCTCCTTAATATGAAAAATAAACGCTAAAAAAATATCCCGAATCAAAACCAATTATCCACTTGATTTGCAAACTTGTGTATTCAAGAAACCACCCGCCGGTTTTCTTCAGAGAGCGACTTCTGCTTCGCGCTTCCTAAAATATTCGCACGTGTTGAGCCCTCCTTATCGGTTGAAATCCATATTTAACACAAAGCCTCCCTTCATTTTCATGCCTTCATGAATGTCTCCAATCAATTCTTCCTTTTATTTTGCTGTACAGATTCACATTTTTTTCGAATGAAAATCTAACTGGTTAACTTTTAAATTGGCATAGCTAACCGATTTCAATGAAAATCTAAGGATAAATGACCGAAATCCAATTTGATTTAACATACTAAAGAGAATTATATGAGTTGGTAAAAAAGTACACGTCACATGTGATTAAAAGTCCCCCCCTCCCAAAAAAAACAAAAAAAAAACAAAAACAGGACATACGATTGACCAAGAGAGAAAGAAGTGAAAAACGAGGATGCTGCTTAAGTTGGCCAAAAAAATAAAAAAATAAATAAAATAACGGAGGTTGCTTCATAGATGTCCAATAGCCGCGCTGGGGAGCATGGTCCCTGAAAATAGTAATTGTCGAACTACGAGGGAGAGGTGTTCGCGTTACACGCCCGAAAAGCGTTTCCTTACAAGCCTCGCTTTCTCTTCATGCTCTTTCGTTCAACACAATTCCTCTCGCTGCTCCTCCCTCCCTCCAAATTCTAACAAATCCCCCGCGTAATTTTCCTCCCCTCTATCCAATTTTCAACATTTTTCCTCAGATCCATTCCTCTTCCACGTCCACTACGCCCCCCCGACAGTTCCACCAACCCACTCCACAACTATCTTTCACGATCTCTGGCCGCTTCTCTCTCTGGATTCGAATGCACCATTAGAGTATCCGTTTTAGCTGAATAATGGCGAGTCAGGTGGTCAGAGTGAAGAGGGAGACGCTAGAAGCATGCATGACATGCCCTCTTTGTCGCAAACTTTTGAAGGATGCTACTACCATCTCTCTCTGCCTTCATACGTGTAGGTTTTTCTATTGTCGTCCGTTCTACGCACCTACAATCTTACTTCTTCGGATTCCTTTTCGTCTCGCCTTTACATGCGTTGCGTATGACGGTTCCGATTGATTGTGCCTGCGACTACGTTATCTGTGGCTTTGATTTCTCTGCTGATTACGACGTTGATTGAAATTTTATTTTTTGTTGCTCTTTCGATGGTGTTGGGTGTTTCTAAGCTATGTACTTTGTGTTCCAAAATTTTGACGTCGCAGAAGTTTAGCGCTGCGTTGTTTGGAATTGTTTTTGGCTTATATTTCCTTAATTTGTTGTTGCCTTGGAATAAATAGTCAACCAGCATGCTTCTCAGGGTTTGGGCTTTCAATGTGGTTTACTCAATTCCTTTTTATTCGAACGACCAGAATTGATGATATAGATTTCGTGCGAACAATCATTTTACTTGTTCATGACCTTAATTGACTTTCGCGTGGACATTTTGTGACCTCACATTATAGCATGGCGGGAGCGTTTTACTGTAATATCTCTACGGTGATGGAGCAATACCTGAGGTTAATATCCCTTGCTGTTTTTAAATTTTTTCTTTGGATTTCTTAGATTTGACTGTTGAAGAAAGGAGATTTTAAATTTTTGGGTTGTCAAAAGAAAGGAGAAATTTTGATTGTGTTAGTTCACTCGTCTTTCATTTTATGAGCTCATTTCCTATTTTTATGTAGATGGAACCCACACGACAGTACGATTGCCATCCCCCATCTTCAGTCCTTCACTGCAACTTTTTATAACTTATAACTTTATGAGACATTCCTAATGTAAACCATCTTGTTAATAAGGACAAGTTAATTTTTGTTATGATTACAATATTGAACTTAGTAAACTCAAAGCAATCTCAAGGAAATCTTATTTTGATATAGAGGCAATTAATATTTGTCATCATTATGGCATTAAAACTTAGAAAACTCAAGGAAATCTTATCGTCCTTCCATCTGAAAGGATTATTTTATCTGGTCCATTGAATGCTCTGATTCTATGGAGGCAGTGGGGGGCACTGTTATGCAATTTCTTAAGGAAGCATAGATGCTGCAAAATTTCATAATATGCTTAATTTTTGGAAATCTGATGGCAAATTATGTTTGTACGACATTAATGAAGTGTGTGTTTGGTTTTCAGTTTATATCTGACAAATGTCCATTTGAGAATCTAACTATTGATTGGATTTGGCAAAAACACATCTCAAATGTGGTTTGAATGTATTTTTGAGGGTTACTAAAACATACCTGAATTATATCCATTTGCCTTTGAATATATCTTTTGACACCATGCTTTGAGTCATCAAAGGATATTTGACAAATTACACTGAACTTTGAACTCTGTACCAGTCTGCAGGAAATGTATATATGAGAGACTCTCAGATGAGGAGGCAGATTGCTGTCCAGTATGCAATATTGACCTGGGCTGTCTTCCAGTGGAAAAACTGAGGTCTGTTGTTGTTTGTTATTGCTAATTTAATTTTTACAAATATGTGTGGTTTATGAGTACTTTGAATTGAACAGAACAAACATGCTACGGATTGCCTGATTATAGAAATATTGCTATCTGTTTGTACGAATTTTGTTCATTTCTTGCCCCCTTTACTGGTTGTTTTTTTTGGTACTTGATATTTGAGAATGTCCATATGGTCATAGACTGATCTCTTTTTTCTGCTCTTCTTCCTTAGTTTATGAATTTCTGTGAATTATTAATCTTCTTGTGCTGTTCGTGGTTACCTGATACCTTCTTCCTTATCTTAAGTTGTTCTTTACTGCATCTGTCTTAACTAGTGTAACAAATAGCTGTCTAATTAGTGATTACTATAGACATTTACCCGCATAATTTCATTTGGAAGCCCTCTCTGTTTTATTGTCACGAGAACCATTCTTTTTTATCTTCTTAACATGTGAAGACAACCTTATGGTGTAGCATGTTCTTTGGGGATGTATCTTATTTAAGCATTCTATCTGGCATTTTTTTATTCATAGAAGCATGAAGCATTTAATCCACGTCATGTAATTATTGGTGAAGACTAATATTTGTATTGTAGCTAAATATGATAACTTCTGTCAGATTGATGTGTTCGTCAATGAGGGATTTCAATTTGCTACCATGCTGTTCAACCTGTATTTTAAATTGGAATGATAATATTTATAAAATCTATATACAAATAATCATGTGAGCCTATGATAATATTCAGGCCAGATAACAATTTGCAAGATATTAGAGCCAAAATATTCCCTTTGAGAGGAAGAAAGATTAAGGCACCAGAGGCAATACCTTCAGTACCTCTGCCAGCCAAAAGGAAGGAAAGATCACTTTCGTCATTGGTGATCTCTGCTCCTAAAGTTTCAATGCAAACTGGCTTCACAGGAAAGAGAACAAAAACTGGTACAAGAAAGGCTGCTGCTTTACGTGGATGCAATTTTTCTGTTCATGAATCCATAAAGAAGGAAGAAGGCTATGCCGAGGATAACCCAGTAAGCTCAAGCTCGCCTATTTTATCAAATATAATATCTCAAAGTAGAAGTCAAGTGTGGGTTACAGGGCTTAGGGTTTTGTTATTTTATGACTCGTGGTTTGGACTTGAATTTAAGGGTTAAGTTACCTGGCATGCTAGGTTAAAAGAAAAAATCTTACTTTCTTGTAAGTAACCATGTACTTTTGCCTTGTTTAGGATTCTCCCATAGCTGAGCCTTCTAAGAAGAATAGGCCTAATGAAGATACAGAGAAAAATGTGGAACTTCCAGAAGGAAAAGTTGATCTCTGGACACCCTTGAATTGTCTTGTTGAAGCTGCCAACAGAACAAAATCCTCAAAGTTAACTTCGCAAGGCTTGTCTCTTGCCAAATCAGAGCCTCCAAGTACTCCCAATGGTGGACCAAGCATGCCTGAAATGACAACCAAATCAGAGCCCCCTGCTACTGTCCATAGTGAATTACGTGTGCCTAAAACCAAAAACAAGGATAATGGACATAAAACAAAATTTGGACATGATAAGGATGAAAATGCTGTGCCTCTAGGACAAGTGAGGCGGAGAAGGGTGCGTCCAGCTGGTCAGAAAAGAGCTGCAGCATCTGAGATTTCTGCCTCAGCTCAAGTTATGCTAGATGCAGCTGGGGGCAGGTGTAACAGAGAAAACTGTCCTATTTGGTTTTCATTGGTTGCTTCAGAAGACCAGTAAGTTACTTGTCTATAGCCATAATTAATATAATTTTAAAGTGTTCAACTTCTTTGTGGGCCTTTAATTTTGAATCAACATTATATGTTTCAGGAAAGGAGATGTTCCCTTGCCTCAAATTTCAGCATGCTACTTAAGAATAAAGTAATTCTTCTTATCCTGTTACCTTTTTACTTGCCTGAATTTCTTTTGCTTCAAATATGACCTAATCTTTAGACTAAATGTGTCTGTTGCCTTTAAACTGTTAGTGAATTGAATTTTTCTCATTTTGTTGTGTCAGAATAGTGGTAAATGTCATTAAAATAAATATAACAAATCTGCACATAATTTTTGTATATGCTAATTTGAAGTTTCTCAGAAGAAACTCCAGCATTAAAGGCCTACAAGAAGATTGCTTTTGCCTTAGCTGGGAGCAAGTTTAAACTGCAGAAAATCAAATTGCAGTATTTGAAGCCAGTGTTTTCACTTTTTCAACATTAACTATGAAATATGACCCCGAGCATTGCATTGGGAGAGACTAACTTATGATCATGTAAAATAGTAAATTAAGTATGTGATAAAAATAAATCTTAAGCAATATGGTTACTTACTAGGGTATGTTTATTTTAGTCAACCTTCCTTGTCGATAATAATATGTCTTGCTCCCATAATTTCTGCAATGACTAAAGTTTGATTTTTCCCACTCTGGTGTAAATGATCACAATAACTGAGATGAACAATCCTGTGTTGTTCCTGAGTATGATTTTCAGCCATGGTACAGAGAACAGCCCTGCAGTTTTATTATTCAATTCGTTGTATAAGATTTTTATCTATATATATATATTATTTCAAACAACTTTTTATCTTTAGTTGGTTGATTAGTCTTAAAACGAGGGTGCGAAACATGCCACGGAAATGATAATTACTGGCTTATCTCATCTTTTACCTGCCATTATTTGTAATTTTTTTCTATTATTCTATGTTTTCTTTTTCTTCACCTTGCTGTTCTATTCTATAGTTGATAGTTCTAGTTCTCATTTTTAACTGTGTCTAATGAATGAGATATTGGTACTCATTTGGACTTTCCTTTTTCCAAACTTGAATGAGCCGTCATAAAAGGCTTTAAGGGGCATTTAGTTCGGCACTTCGGGGAATAGTTTCAAGATTCCTACGAATGTTTCACAGAAATGATATATTCTCATGTTTGGTTCCTGTTTTAAGATTTTTAGGAATGTTGCTTTGCCGGGAGTTCACTATTCTCGTGAAACGCCTTTATATTTCATTCTTACAAGGGAAGTTGGATTGTGTTAGATGTTGGATTTCCACAAGGTGGAAATGTTTCTAGAAAGTTGCAAGGATTACTTTTCTAGATAAAAATCCAAATATATTTGTATATAATATGAAATCTATCGCTAGCTGTTCTAATTATAATTAAATTTCATGTAATGCATGGGGTCTACTATTAAATTCTCAAAAATGGTAAAAAAAAAGAAGAAATAAAATAATGAATAATATAATACACACATTATAAGTAATAAATGAACTATTTATTATAGACATATAAAAATTAAAGTAATACTGAAATATAATGAATAAGGTATAATTAATAAATCAAAATAAAGAAAATATAAAAATATGATAAGTAATAACAAGTATAGACCATTTTTAAAGAGAAAGGTAGATATAAAATGCCATAGAATAATGTGAAGAAGATTTATGATGCCCCAAATGTGAGGATGGGAGATAATGCGAAGCAGTGCATCTTAATGTGTGGTTTTGAAAGGACAGTAAAGCAGTTGTGGGCTGGCATGCTTCTATTGTTACTAATCGTCTTGTTCTTCTTTTCTGGTTTTCTCACAAGCTCTTCTTTGGTATAATATGTTTTGATTGATGAAGAAATGTGCGGTTAATTGGGGCATGGTTGATGAGCGTCTAATAATACTTGTTTCTTTTCCTATCGCAGGGATGGTACTGTGCCCGTCTCCTTTATTCAAAAGTACCTTGTGAAGAAACTTAATCTTGCCAGCGAGGCAGAGGTGAGTTCAATGCAATTGTTATTGCGGGCATCATGTTAATACACATGCAGATGCAACAGAAAAATAAACATAAAGATAAAGGAGGAGTGGGTGGGGACATGATTGGGTTGGCAATAATTTGATAGCGTGTTATTTGACAGGTGGAAATAATGTGCCGTGGTCGACCAGTGCTGCCATCTTTGCAACTGCATAACTTAGTTGATCTCTGGTTCAGGACTGCATCATCCTCTAAAAAGATTCCTGCTTCGGTTGGCTCCTCCGCCAAGGACTTCGTTATGGTTTTATCATATTGTCGAAAAGCCCTCCCTCCTTAGACATTTTCCGTTCCTCTCCCTCAATTTTGCTGTATCTTCCTCCCCGGCCTCTTCTTCTTCTCATCCGATGATGTCTTCTCCAACATAGTGAAAATATGAGTCACAAAAACGTATCGGCGCATTTGCTGTTCCTATTCCATCGTTTGTCAAAGAAATGCTTTTCTTTGTGAGTGTTCAAATCACATCCTAAATTGGGGAAACTCCCGCGCGCATTTCTTTCTATATTTTTTTTTTAAATATTTATTTTGGAATTGGGAGCTATACGGCAACGAGTTTCTTCATCTTGCTTAACTTTGTCAGGGTGCTGTCTATATTGAATATTTATTTTGGAATTAGGTCGAAGTTATATTTCACATTTAACTATTTTAAAATTTTAATCTTCTTTGTCCATGATCTCTATTTGTCGCTTGATGAGACGATGGCATGGAGGAGAGAAAAAAGTGGGGAGAGAACTATGTAATGATGCAACCACAGGAAGCCCAACACTAACGAGGGAGTGTTGATGAATGATCCCCTGGGATCCCAGATGTTATATTAAACATGCTTGCAAATTATACCGAGCAACATATCTGATATCGCACGCCATAACTGAGCAACAACCATTATTGATTTATGGCTGCCATCTCCGACAAAACATCTTAGACGTTGCATTCCCATATTCTATCTCTACAGATCCCTTCATCTACGGTAACCGCCGCATCTACCTGCTCTCTAAATCAGCTCACAATTATCCCCCCTCGCCATGAACATCAACCTCTGCATCTAAAACATGCTTAACCATAAATTTTGAAACTTCTCTTCTCCTATTTTCCCTTCTCATCTTTTTTACTGTCCTGTTTCCTTCCCCTCAACGTTGGAAAAGGATTCCACCTTTTAGCTTAAAATATCAGGAAAAAATGCATGACGTGCGGAATGATCAGAAAAAGGAACATAATCCTTCAGTAGATATAAGGAAATCAGCTCATACTTTACAATGGGATTGGGATTTCATAATGAGTTCAAACTGGGGGCATAATACGATTAAAATTGCCAGAGGGCCGGAAGAAAATGCACCAAATAACAAGGAATGAAACCTGCAGTGGTTATGGAAAAAACGAGACTCTGCATCAAGAAACATGCTAAACCACTTTATGTCAAATTTTAATATCACACTCAAATATGACAACGGTATTGAACTAGCAAAAAGCCCAAAATAGATCCATCGTCTAATCGAATGGATCCTGTTCCTCAAAAAATAAAGCCGAATTGTTTTTGCCTATCAACTACATAACTCTTCGAAACAAACCTAATCCAAATTTAATTTTAAACACCGATAGCTCCCACATGGTTTCATTTGCATGAACACACAGCAAGAATCAAAGTGGCGGCAGATATGGTTGTTAAAATAGAAGTGAGCGTTAGTTCGTATCCAAATAATCAGGCAGACTTCGTCATCATCGTGTCCACCTCTTCCATTTTTCTCTTTGAAAGAAAATCCACCTCTGCCTTTCAAAAGGCGACCTTCTTCACTGAACCAGTAACATCAAAATCAATTATTATTTTTTGGTGGGGGGGTGTTGTTTGAAAAAAAAGAACTGAACACACCTCGAATTTGATTACATTCAAACCCGGGTATACGTTGTTGTGAGGGACTGGCTTCCCACAACGGAGACCAAGCCACCTTCGGCAGCGGTTTCTTCATCAAGAAAGAAGTCATCCGTGACCCGAAAAGCGGCGTGCAACCCAACAATCACAACAGCCACTATGGAAGACACGAACAAATTGAGCCCGACGCCAGCAAGTACAAGCGCGGAAACTGTTATGAATCCCAGACCACAGAGTACGGTTCCGTCGTCCCATGTTTGGTCGAACAAGACGGGGGGGCTATAACGAGTGAAGTAGAGGAAGTACCAGGCAATGAAGACAATCATGCAAACGATCATGGCAATGGGATGCCAGAAGAGACTAACGAAGATGATGACAAGGGAAACCAAGACGTAGTTATACTTGAAGTAACTAAAGTTCCGTCGGACGCGTAACATGGCATCGGCATAGGTGCAGGGGCGGGAGAAGGCGGACAAGTCGAGGAGCTGGGACCAAGGGCGGGGAGTGGCGTAGAGAGACCGAGAGGCATACGTGGCGCGGGAGACGAAGGAAAAATCCGACAATGATTGCGGTTGAGAGGAGTTAACGGCGGCGGGGGTTTTGATGGACATTGGTGGGGGGAGAGCCGGATCTGGAACAGCAACTCTTACGGGGTGGCTTCGAATGGAGGAAGGAACGAGAGAACGCGAGTCGGCATTATGATCCTTTTTCTTTAGTTATTATTTTATTGGTCAAGCTTTGCTTTGCCCCACAGCCTAATAAGAATACTTCAAAAATCAACGACTCTCCCAACTTTTTTGCTTTTATCACCTGTAAAGCGATATTACTTCCTGATTGATATTCATAGTTTCTTTATGGCTGTAATTTGCCATTATACTTTTTTCAAACATGTTCTATTATCCTCTCTACGTTCGTATCTCTGCACTCAAAATCAAGAAAGCAATGCAACGACCGTGTTCATTGCTAAAAAATTGTACAGATTAACATGTACAATCACCTTAGCCTGGCTTCGCTGTCAAACCGAATAGACCAATGAATGAATAATTTTAAGAGAAAATGATAATAAAATTTCTCTAAAATATATAAATGATAATGTGGTTTTTCAAAATGTCATAATTTTACTGAAGTTTTTTTAAAAAAAATTTGTCATTGATAAATTTATATAAATGATCAAATTATTCTTGTTAAAAATAAAACGATTTACAAGTTTTGTTAAAAAAAATCACAACTTTTTTTCTTATATTTGCAACAATGCAACAACAAATTATAACTTTGCATGTTAAATTTTTAATTTGTTGTTGCATTATTGTAAATATAAAAAGAAAAGTTGTGATTATTTAAATAAAACTTATGAACGTTTTATTTTTAACAAGGATAATTTGGTTATTTATATAAATTCATTAATGACAAAAAAGTTTTCAGGAATTTTAATAAAATTATGGCATTTCGAGAGATCACATTGTCATTCATATATTTTAAATAGATTTTATTATCATTTTTTATAATTTTAATCCTTGTAATTGATTTTTCTTTCCTCATCTCAAGTCCTAATGAAAAGGAGACACATAGTTGCTGCTATATTCCTATTAGGTTTTTGGATTGGTTTAAGGGTTAAAAGTGTCTTTGAAGTATACATAAAATGTCACAAATAATCCTAAATTAAATTTAAAGTCAATTTTATCCTTCAACTTTAGAAATTTGATTGTCCGTACCTCTAACGTTATTTTTTGTTTAGTGGGTCCCACATTTAAATTTTTTAATATTTTTTATTATAAAATATTTAATAATGGGTTCCACAATTCATTTTTAATATTTTTATAAAATTAAAACTATTACTCTCTCTCCTCCCTCTCTCCTTACTCTCCCTCTCTCCTCACTTCACACACACACACACACTCACTTTCTCTCTCTCTCTCTCTCTCTCTCTCAGAGGCTAAAGATGATTGTAAGGGGAGGTTGAAGCCGTAGCTACAAGTGAGCATCATTCTCCACTGAGCCATATCTCTCTCTACTAAGCCACTAGTTACCTCTATCATTCTCTCCACCTTTCATCCTGCCTATGTCATCTTCTCCCACCTTTTCTCTCTCCTCTCTCCTCTCTCTCCTTCACACCCACCATTATAGATCACAGATGAGCTTAAATTGTGCCTTGGAGACTTGTTTTTGCATGTCACATTTAACACGAGTGTTACCCTATGCACTAAGCAAATGGCCTCCCTTTTCTAGGAGCTCTATGATTGGTATTTTGTGAGATTTGAAGCTGTTGTGTCCCTACTTGCTAGTATGAAGCTTATCACTGATTATCTCTTCTTCACCTGTACATACAAGCCGTGATAGGAGATCCTCACCACCAACCTCTTTTATTGAATTCATCATCCTTGCTCTTCTTCTCTATCATTGATTTAGCCTACTCCATGTTGATGTCAAACTTTTTTCCAGAAAAGTCACCTCCGGTCTCAATAACCTCAACTTTGAACATGGTTGCATCATCATGCTCCTCCTCCTTAGCTCTCCCCATCTCGTCTTCTCCTTCCTTAGAGCTTCCTGCCTTGGAGCCATTGTCGATGCCAAGAACCCAATCTATATCGTAGTCGAGGTTGCAAAACAAGCTACTACTTTTAATGCCAACCTCATCATCATGTTGTTAAAGAGGTTAAGGATCTCGCAAGAGGAAACAACATTCTCCCCTTCCCACTTTCTCTCCCCTCCACGTCAAGGACTCTATAACACCCCGAGTTTTAATTCCCTGATTAATTAAACTTAATTAGAGTAATTAGGTAAGTTGAAGTGGTGTATGGTCAGAGAGGTTTAATAATCATATTTGATGGTATTTCAGCCTTAATTATGGGTTCGGTATCAAAGCGGGCAACTCGGGCATCAAAAGGAGAAGAAAAGGAAAAGTTGATATTGCTGTGCCACACGTCGCGGCGTGGAGATCATTCGCCGAGGTGCACAGACATTTCTGAATGAGGGAGAACCTTTCTATGCCATATGCCATAGTGCATTGTGCGTCCGCCGCGGCGCATGGCCATTTTTTATAGTTTATCAGATACTAAATGAGACAGAAATAAAGAGAAAGAAAAGAGGAAAATGGAAAGGCACGCCAATGCTCTGCTAGGGTTTACTTGTAGATGACATTGAGAGTATTTTGAAGGCTACAAACACCCAAAGTAATTATCACTCATTAATCTCCCCATTTCTTCCACACTTATGAGTTTGTAGTTAGGGTTTGATAGTGGAAGTAGAATGTCGATCCATATAGGTTATGGATCCAAATTTGTTGATTGAAATGGAGTTAACAGGGGTAGATTAAAGTATATAAACCTATGTATAATAAGTTTTGGTATCTTAGGTTGTTAGGCACCATTAATATTCAAAAATCTCATTTATTATGGGTAGTTGGAAGTTTGTGATGCCATTAATAAAGTTTTAATGGCTCATTAATGCTATTGGGGGTTAAAGGTAATTATGAAACCTAATGAATAAGCTCTAACTCTTGTAGAGTGAATGTTGGGCAATTTAAAAGTAGGGATTGAAGGCACAAATGTTTGAGTTGGTTATGTTAATAGAATTCAACTTAGTTGATTGTAGTCTTGGCTCTTGATCACCTATTGGATTGAAAATTCAAGCTTGAAAGCTAGTTGATTGAGGGATAAACTTTTGACCTTTCAAAGATTTAAGGTAATCAGAAAAAAATCTCCTTTAGATAGTTATATGTTAATTGATTGTTAAATGTAAATTGTGAATGTTACATGCAAGGGATTGATTTTTAAAGTAAAACCATATATTAGTTTCAATGAGTGTATGAAAAAGCTATTTTTGGCTTGAAAATACAAAATGTAAAGTCAAGAGAGTTTTCGAACTATGAACATGCTTATGTTTTTGAAAAATGAATGTGATGATTATGTGAGATAGGTGTGTGCTCATGAGAAATGAATGTTGAGAAGATGATGAGAATACATACTTGGGTAGTACATGGTCGTGAGTCCAACGTGATTGATGTAATAAGAAGTATATGAAAGCAAAAAAGCTGAAAACGAGTGAGTATTGATTATGGCATAATCAATGGTGAGAGTTCACCTAGGGATTGAGAATAGAAAAAATTCATATGATATTCAGGCTGCCCTCCAGTGTACGGGGGTATAGCCTTGTCCTACAGTTTATCGAGGGACTGTCCCATAATTTATCGAGAGACTAAAAACCTAGCTATCTCCACCGGTTTCATGAGGAGAGTAGCCTAAGGTATGAGATACTCTAGGGATTTAAAAATGGGGAAAGCCGTGGTCTGAGAGTAAGTCCTGTGATCTTTGCCTGGGTCATACCTCATGATTGGTGAGGGTAGTCCAGTCACATGAACGGAGCTCTGATCAGTATTATAGCCCACGGTTTCGGTCTGAGAAAATAAGGAGGATATAAGGTTGGTTGATCATTGTCTAAATAAATATATGACGTGTCACACGTGTTAAGTGATGGCAAGTCGTGTAAATAATAGGTCATGTCACATATCTGAGAATATGGTGACAATGCACCTATTTATAAGAGTTAAAGATGTTATTTAACGATAAACGATAAGATATGATATATGCTAGCATGTTTTACATACTTGATTTCTTTGTGCATGTATTTGATTTATAATTGATATATAACTGCATAAGATAGGTTTAATGTTGGTTACTGAGTGGCTAGTCACCTCTTTCATTTAACATTTACAGGCTCTAGCTCTAATGTTGAGAGGGAGAAGCATAAAGAGGCTAGGAATCAGCACATTCCTTTCTGTATGCCTCTAGTTTAGATTTAATTGTGTAATAGTATATGACTTGCCAATTCTAGAATGCATGTAAACACACTTGTACTATTTTGTTGTTGGAAAATTTAGATTTGTATTTTGGGCCTTTAGTCTTTGTGTATATTGATATATATATATATATATATATATGACTAAAATACTAGTGCAAGTGTAGAAATAATGATTTGAGCATGATTTGAATGATTTAGACGAGATACAATGACAAATTACCTCCCCCTTTATTTTTGGTAAAATGGGGTTAAGGAGTGAATTTTTGTTATACTGATATTTTCGTGCTTGTGACGTGTTGTACTGATAGTCTTAAGTCCATTAGACATGGTCCAGGTGTTAGGAAAAGCTTTTAACACTTATTGAGAGTTTTGGACACCCATTTTGTATAAAAGTGTCAAATAGTGGTTCAAATGTGTTTGGGTGTCCAATTTTTTAGTGTGACTTGTTTTAGAAGTGAAACCTGTTCCATTCATGTAAAGAACTTTTCGTAGGCACCTAAATTACGTCATTTGAACGTCGGACGGAGAATTGGGGTGAGTTGAAAGTTCCCTGATTTTGCTATCAAATGACAACAGAATCAGTAGAAATTTCGTGCAACATGTCGCGAAACATGGTGCTTGAGCTGTGGCACGTGGCACAAAGAGTAACATGCTGCCACGCATCGTGCATGAGCCGTGGTGCATTGCCCTGTATCACAGCACATGTTTTGTTTTTCAACCATTTTCGACTTCCTTCACTCCTCTGAGGTATCTCATGCTTCCGTGACTTATTTTTACTTTGATATGAAAGATTTTGATTGATTCAAACTCATTTTTATTTAGAAAACTTAGGATCCCTTGTTTTTAAATTAAACCTTGGTAATCATCCTTTCGAGTTAAGTCTCAGATTACTAGGAGTTATATTGGTTAATTATGACTAATGGAGTGAGAATGTTTTAGACTCTGCATGCATGCGCTGTTGTTGAGCCTGTCTTTATTCTCCCCTATTTTCATTCTTAAAAATAGAGATAGGTCAAGGGTCACATTGTTCACTTTAAACCGAAAAAGAGTGGTAGGAGTTGTTGTTGATGGGAAGAGAGAGGGAATGAAGGAGAGTGAGGGAAATGGATATGCATTCCTCGTTGCTTAGCTCTAATTCCTTCATGCCTTCTATATTAGTAAGCTTGTGTAGAGATGGCCAACGCTGAAAATTAAAGGAGGATGAGAGATGCTTGCTAAGTTGAACTAGTTCTCTCTCTCTCTCAAACACACACACACACACACACACACATTCTCTCTCACATATTCACGGCCAACTTGTCTTCTTGGTCCTTTGAAGCTCTGCACAATGACTCACCTTATTAGATCATGCCCAACTTTGATTTAGATGGAGACAATCATCTGAAGGAGAGACGGCAGGAGAGAGGGAAGAGAGAAGAAGAAAAAATATGACTGGTGGGACCCACTTAAATATTTTATAATGTAAAATATTAAAAAATTTAAAAATAGACCTCACTAACAAAGAAACTGAATAGAGAAAACGACAGGGTGATGAATTTAAAAATCTTAACAGTTAAGGAATAAAATTAACCCCAAGTGGAGTTTAATATTATTTGTAACCTTTCGCGTACACTTCAGGGATATTTTTGACCTTTAACCCCTCCAAATTTGCTAACTCAAGTAATGTTTTCAAAACTGAACTAGATATTGAATTGACAAAGTTAGCGGTTCATGGTTCACATAGTCTAACTGAGTTGGACCAATGATCGAACTGGTAATGTAATAATTAAATGATAAAAATTATTTATGTATATAATAATCTAAATATAAGAAATAAATATAAAATTGCTACTTAACTTAAAAATAAAACTAAATATTTTAAGTTTATTATGACTTAACAAGCCACATGATACAACATAATATCAAATGATTGAAAAATTAATAAAAAAAGAAAAAGGGCATTTTTGAATAAGTCTAACTTTTGAAAATCAAACCTAATTCCCAACTTAATCTCAATTTCTGATCCAATCGGCTATCCAAAGTAGCCTAATTCTTTAAACAATTTTTTCAACTTGACTGAGCCGTTAACTTCACCGATCGACGATCCAATTCGATTTGATTTTTTAATCATTTAACTCAAGTAATTTACCAATCAAATATCCTATTACAATATCTATACTTTTAACTAACATTTGGATGAATAGTTTTTATATTTAAAATCTATATATTTCAATTTTCTATTTAAATACTTTGAAAATTCAAATGAAGGGATATGAAAAATTATAATAAGAAACAAAAATGAAAAACTAAAAAAAACGAGTTTATTTCAAATTTTTTATAAACAAAAGATAAAAAAAATACAAGAGCCAAAAAAGAATATAATGTTTAAATGATTATAATTTTGAATAATTAAAATATAAAAAAATTTAAAATTACAAAAAAAATTACAATTTGAAATAAATCAAATTCAAATTTAAAATCTTTTGTGTACCTGAATAAAAAATTTAAAATTTGATCTAAATTTAAATCCAAATCTTTATTAAGCTAAATACACTATTAGAGATTTCTAATCCAAATGCAACAGTTAGAAAATTAGAATAGAATGACAATGTTATCATTTTCACTTTGATTTCCTCTCCTTTTTGGGACTCCCAATATTGCAATAATCAACCCCGCAGCAATTCGATTCGAGATATCTCAGGGCAGTCCCATAATCAATCCCATAAACACGCCAACTACGTAAAATTTTTCTAATTACTAATTACCAGTATTATAAAAGACAGGTCCTGGCTCATACTACAAAATTTAAAAAAAAAATAAATACGTTACAAAAAATAGGATTGCCACATCTGCAACATTTCAACAGGATCTGCCCTCTGCTACTTGACTACTTATCATCCTTAGCCGTCCCATGAAATTTCCTCCCAGCTTCAACAGCTTCCCTGCAAGGATGAAACTGTCAAAAGATGTATACACTTTACACGTGCACAAACGAAAGATTTTCATGAACTCAGCATCACATAAAAAGATTTTTTCCCCAAGTTAATGGATTTTCTTTCCTCTTAACTTGTCCCTTAACCTAGGTGATAAGTGCATATTTTATAATTAAATAAGTATAAATTTTAATTTGAATTTGATTATATTTATTAAAATTTCATATTTATTTAATTGATATTTATATACTTTTTCCTCATCACTTAATTATAAGACAAAAAGGAATTTTAATACAAAATCCATTCATATCTTTTTATCTTTATATTTTGCAGAGAAAAAAAATAAATCAAAAAGAAGGAAAAGAGAAATATATATATATATATATATATGTATGTATGTATGTATGTATGTATGTATATTAGAGTCCCACATCAATAAAGAACAAAAGAAGGAGCCTCCACTTTAACTATAAATACTTCCTCCATCAAGAGGGAGGGCATCCAATCACTTATATGAGTACTTCAAGAATTCTTTCTGAGATATTTGAAGCTCGTAGAAGCATTCTGAAGGTTGAAAGCAAGATCATTGAAGAGTTTCACAAATTATAATTATTTCTTTTCTACTACTTAATTTTCTCTCTAATCATTTTTCATGATTGAGAATTTTAGAACGGTGTTATTTAATTTTATTATGTGTTTCTAAATTACTCAATTGGGATAAAATTGTAGCCCAATTTGGGAGCTAGTTTTCCATTTCCTTTATTTTGACTTTGTATTTATATTTATAAATATTTTTGCTTTTTTCAATTATATTTATTTCTCTTGTTCTTTATATTGATTTAATAATTGGCCACCATTTAATCAAATCTATGGGTAATCTTAATGGACTGAGAGGTGAAAAGAAAACCTAGATCTAGAGAAATAAACATAAATAACTAGGCTAGGGATAGTTCTAGAAATTTATGTTGACTTAAATTATAACTTCACAGTTTAATTAGTTATTTGGGCATTGTGGGAACGAATTCAGCACTAATTAAAAAGGGATTAATAATTCGGAAGAATATTAAGACACTTTAAAAATAGTTGTCACTATAATTGATCCGAGTCAGCTCAAAAAGTAGAAACTAGCAACTTATAAGGTGAATCCTAAATCCCAATGCTTCAGGTGATTGTGTTTTCATCATCATTATTTTCTTTATTTATTTTTATTTTTCATATTTTCATCAAAATTATTCATTTTATCTATTTTTCTTGAACTATTAATTATTTAAATCAGTAAAAGTGTAACTTCTCTGTGGGTTCGACACCTGGAATATTCTAAGTAATTTATTACTGTGATCTTGTACACTTGCAAGAGCGATCACCAGGCTTTCTAAAACACATGACTCTCCTATGATGCAATGCTCCATTAGTTCATGTTTTTGTAATTCACTTCAATTTTGCCTCAACATGCATGCAACAATGAAAGGTCAAAGGCTGCCATCCCATACCAGGTGATCATACACGTGCTTTGAGCACCATACATGCACGAGGATGCAGTGTACACAATGATATAGGATAAATACCTGAATGCATTTACAAGCTCCCTATTTTCAGGATCAAGCTTCACTCCCGCATAAAATGCATTTGCTGCTTCATCAAACTTCTGCAACAAGGACGACAAAAGCAAAGTTTACCAAATGTGAATCACATGACCTACTGTTAATGCCAAAAGCAAACGAGTTTCTAAGAAACAAGCCTGCAACAAGCGTAAAGCTGCCCCTTCCCTATAACAAGCTTTTGGCCAGTCTGGTTTTAATGCTCTGCAGGCCTTTGCATCAGCTAAAGCACGCTCCGCTTGACCCAACCTGATCCAACAAAGACTTCTATTGGATAGAAGAGTAGCATCAGTGGGGTCTAGATCAATTGCCTGTTGACACATGGCAAAAATAAGGTACAGTAATTAAGAAAACAATCGTTCTTAAAATATATATTAAAAAAACATTTAGGATTTCTATTTTCTAAGACTACACCAGATAAGTATGCACAAGCTCAAACAAATCAGAGATCATGATTAAACGAGAACTCATTGGGTACTATTTGCAAATTTTCTGGAGATCTTACATTTAAAAAGAGAACTTTGTCATCAGATTGCAGTCCAATGTTTTCTTAATTACTAATTTATTATGCATTGTAGTTTGTAGCTTTCAAAATGATCGAATTTGAAAAATTAAACACGTTGCAGAAGGACACGAAGTACATGAGTCAAGTGCAAGATCAGGACACTTTACTTGTGTATAGGCATCTACAGCCATATAATATTCTTTCCTTCTAAAGGCCTCGTCCCCTCTTGATTTTGCTTCTGCAGCTTTATTCTTGGCTTCAGGTGTCACCTAGATGGATTAAGAAACTATTACAACAATGACAAAGATGAACGTTTATTCACATTAACTGATGGTGATATGCAGCTAATAACCAATTCCAGTTTGACAATATATGGGAATTCAATTATTGAAGAAAATTTCAGCTATCACACATGCTTGAAAATACTTTAACAAATCACAAGTGACTAACAGCAAAAAAGTAGAAAGGGCAGAAAAATGATTTTGGTAAAAATCAAAGCTTAAGGGAGATTCAAAATCAAGTATGATGGAGAAAATGAAGAAGTTGATATACTTTTATAAGAAGAAATGAATGCATTTTATTTAAAAATAAGAACAAACTAACCTCAGGGAGATTTTGCTCTGGCAAAGCAGTATCCTTGTGGCAACTAGTTTCCGAAGCACGTCTTGTTTCCTGCAAATTTTATCCTCTATTTTTGATCACTCATCATTTTTAAATATCCTCGAGACAGTAAAGCATCATGGAGACTATATCAGGAAATATTGTTATTCGTACCAACTGAAGAAGACAAATTAGAGGATTCAATAGCAGCAGAATTACTTGGAAATCATTGGCATTTTAACCGAGTTAAAATAACGAGTCTTCCTGATGAAATATAAGAACAACAAATCTTAAAGAAACATGGGCTAGTAGATTATTATTGTATTTTGCTTCAGCTTGTAAGAAACCTACCTAGGTTTAGCTTATTATTATCTTCTAGGCTAGGAGCTCACCATTACTTTTGTGTTATTTTTAATATTTTGTAAGAAGGAATCTGAATATTGGCTTTATATGGATGAGTGATTAAGGTTTCCTTAATAGGTAGGAAAGTTTAGTTTAAATAGCCTAAGCTTTGCTCTTGTAATGGGGACTTGACGAATGAAGTATTTTGATTGAGTGCTCAGATAGCTTCCCCCTCTCTCTTTCCTGTCTCTCTCTCTGCTCTATCCCTTCTCTGTTTCTACCTCTAATCTCTCCCTCTCCCTGTTTCTATTTCTCCCTACTCTCTCCCTTTGTTCAGATCTATGCAAGTGTGTGCGCACGCGCGTTGCATCACTTCCCTTCTCTATTTAACAATATGAATAGTTAAATACAGAAGAGGCTCCTTGACATAAGCTTCCCTCCCAATATTTTCTGATTATAATGCAACAATATAGCAAGTTCTACGATACTCCTTATTTAAAAATAAAATAAAATGATACAGCTTAGCAAAATTGGTGATAAGGAGCAAAGGAGCTGACTACCTGTTGATTTTTATATTCTGATTGCACAGACTCTAGAATGCCATCAATACTCCAAGTGGGAACAGTTTCAACGTTTGATGTCAAGGGAAACAATATCTCAACAGCTTTGCGATTTCCCCTTAGAGCTGCAACCTGGATCGGCTTCATACCATCCTGACATGCCAAAACTCACATTGTTCACAACCATAAGGAATACAAGTGAAAAGCAAAAAAGTATGAATAACCCTCAATTTTGGAAATGAAGAAAAAACAGCAGGCACTATAACTCAGCAAGCACTGAGTACTAATATAGAATTCCAAGCACAACTGTTCCCCATATAAGTGGGCAAAGAAGTCATGTAAAAAATAAAAAGCCTATATTTTGTACTTGTACAATGCCAGGCATGCTGTTACCATGATTGCATGTGGGCGTTAGGGTGTCTGCATGTGGTGGGTGCATACCCATCCACTTCGGTCCAAACTCAGGTAAATTGATGCCAAGTCAGTACAACCCAAATCACTAGTTATATCACTAATAAGAATAACCAGTTGCAAGTAATGATTCTTACATAAGAACAGTAATGAGCTACGTCTCTACATTTATGGCACGAGGTCTTTCAGAAAGTTAAACCACAGTCACTTAGTTCATTGTGTCCAGCTTAAGAAAGAAACAATAGAATAGCAAATGGCATAAAGGACCACTAGTTGAGGAATCCTTCAATAGCAAATGACATAAACTCTTAACAGCATAATGACCCAAAAGGAGAAGAATACAGACTTAGAATCAGCAAACCTCATCAGCGACATTAGGATCAGCTCCAGCTTTCAATAGGCAATTTATAAGTTCTGGATTTCCACTGTCAGCAGCAATGTGCAAAGGAGTTGCTCCACCAGCGCTAACATTTACATTAGAACCTGCCTGTACAAGATATGCAGGCATGAGGATTCAAGGCTTCTATAATATTTAAGGATACAGCTAAGATTGGGTAATGTGCCCTCTGAAGACCTTCAAGCACAAATGCATTATTTTTCAGTTGGTTTACCCTTGGACAATTAATCTACTCTTGTCCTTCTCTGTTTAACCACCAAGATTTAGCATGTTATATCCCTTCCTTCCAGCTTCCCACCACCTCTCTTTTCTGTAATTGCTTGAAATATACCAGTTGCACTGAAATTATTGACGTTCTCTGAAAGTAAAACATGCACTATAATGTTCAACCAGATTACCATATGTTGTATGAAGTTGTCTGTTATAGCTAGTTTTTGGCATATGGTAAGCCCCTAATTCATAACCATTGTTGACATCTTCATTAAGATTAAACATGATAGAATGACAGAACCAGAATTCATTACTTTGTTATCACCATAACCCTATCATTGTATTTATCAGAACAGAAAATAACAAGAAAACAAACTAATTTATGACCATAAATAACAAGTGGCTATCATCAATAACTTGATGAAAGATATATTGCCACACTTCTCTACAAGTGCAATACAAATGCCATTAATATGCTAGATGTTTATGGAAGATGTACAACCTGAACTAACAGCTCTATACATGTCAGAGAACCGGCTGCCACAGATGAAAGGAGTGGAGTAACACCATCATCAGTCTCAGCATTAGGCTGCAATTCAACATTGGCCAGCATTGGCAAGATTAAAATATTATAAATCTATACTTGTTGCAAAATTAAAATAGCACATTCTATAAATAAACTTTAAATTATATATTCAAAATTCAAGGGTTACAGGCTGATCTTTAATATTAAAAAGACAAACTCATTGAAGATCATTTACTAAATTATATCATATTCGGAGTGTGTTATGCAGCACTATGTTATGGCTTATTTTTATGCACAGGAGTTCCAGCTAGTAAGACAATTTTTATTTAGAATCCTCCATTCTCCATTTAAATGGTATCAATCACTGATTTTAATAAAGCCCCTCCAACCTCTATTGACTCAATGGGAAGAATTTGCATAAGTGAATTATTCAATTTATCAATGATGTTATTCTGTGATCCACTAAACCAAGCAGATATAATGACAAATCAAAATGTGAAAACTGAGAATAGAAATCTGATTGAACCTTCGGAGGCTTGCATTATTTATTGATATTGAAGCTGAAATTCCTTTCTCAATAAGAAGCACCTCTAGATTAGCTAGAGACTCTTCACCTAAAACCAAATCTTCCTCGTCCCATGCTTCACAACCCCAGCACAATATGCCCCTCTTCTAACAGACGTTGAATTCTATCTATCACCCTTCCCATGACCCGTTCATAGTTGGTCACATCACTCCCTTTCTCAGCCATCCATAATAAGAGCATGTCTGTATTTTTTCACGGTTCCCCACCTTCCAGACATACGTTTGCCTCAATGCTCCTTCTCACATGCTTTTTCATTTGTATTGAGGCAAATGTAAAATCAAACACACCTAGATCCCCTTATTTTCTACATCCTTTATAAGTCTTCAATACCATAAGCCCAACACCAAAATCAGATACAAAAAGACAAACTATCAACATGGAAGAAAGAAAACTTTTCTTGTTTACTTTAAAGAGTATAGAAATGTGATTGACCGCAGATTCTTTATATGCCAATAGATGCAAAGAGCTATTGAGAGAGAGAGAGAGAGAGAGAGAAGAAAAAACTGAAGAAACAACATAAAGCATTAACTAATGTTTCGAATATCAAATTAAAACGGAGTTTTCACCTGCCAGAATCCCCTCAGAATTGAACCTTAAGTGGTCAGTTTTCTTTTATAATGGACATTATTCACTATAAGCAACGCTAATTCTAGATTATCAACAATATGGCCGAAAAATAAACAAGAGATGTGATCTTACGTTTGCATGGTGTTCTAACAGAATACTGACAGCATCTTTCTGGTCATGACCCGCAGCCCAAATCAATGGTGTTCCCGCATCACTTTCTAAATCAGCACCAATACCTCTGGAAAGCAAATACTTGAGTAACTCAATATCTCCTGCAGGAAAGCACGTATTAGATTAAAATAAACTGAACGAGAACAATAACAACAACAACAACAACAACAAGCCTTTATCCCACTAGGTGGGGTCGGCTACATGGATTGCAAGACGCCATTGTGCTCTATCATTTATTAAGCTTTTAGAAATATTATTAATTAAGAGATCACGAGAACAATAAGCCAAATAAATTGAATTTTGATATAAAAAAAAAACACGAGATTGAGAGATCATAAAGGCAGTGAGGCAATTTTTTTTTTTTTTTTCATGCAGAAGTGTACATAATCCGTGAGACATTCTGAGCAAGCACCTATTCCTGCAGAATGATGCAAGGCCGTGGCTCCTAAGTTGCTAGCAATAGCAGGATTGGCACCATGGTCAATAAGATATTTAGCTGTAGCAGTGTGCCCTTGACGAGCAGCATGTATAAGAGCAGTCTCGCCTGAAAAGGAATGGCAATTCGAAAGGTTAGCAATTTTATTGGCAAATTTTGGAGATAAGAATAGGCGAAGAAAGTGGATTTTGATATTTTATACACGAAGAAACTATATATGTTGCAAATATATGCAAGGAAAAAAATTACCATCGTCATCTCTCTCATCCACGTTGAGCTTCAATTCCTCCAACAGGTATTTACAAACCTCAGTCTTCCCTTCGCGAGCCGCAAAATGCAATGCTCCTCGTTTATTGGCATCCTTGATTGCTGCCACAGTTTTAGCTAAATCCTTGCCATCATCAAGCTGCCCCGCCAAATCTATCCCAAAAAGCCCCAGATGAAGAATTTGAACAGAAAAAGCAACAACAATAATGAAACAATTGTGGGCGAAGAGCAAGACAATTACTTTTCAAGAGATCAATATTTCCAGCACGAGCTGCGTTAAGAAATTGTTGAACTTTCTGCCTCACTGCATTGAGAGAAAGTGTGAAATTACGACAAAACTGAAATACCGAGTCGTGCAACTCATACAAGTATAGAGGGAGAAAGAGAAAAAGACACGACGGTGACTTCATAGGCCATAGTCAAAGAAAACCCTGTGAATCGCAAAATATCAAACTGCATTTAATATTTATCTATATGTGAGGGGGTAAAGGACAAGAGACCTGCAAGAGCGTCAGAAGCATCGGAGGCCATTGGGGTCAAAGCCAAGAAATCTCTTCGCGAAGCGCTCGTTATTGAAGTCTCTGTGTTTGGCTTTGCAGCGGCCTCCGGGTTTTGTAGGTTTGGAGAATGGACTTCGAGTCCGTGCGGGCAACGCAAAGTCCTCTAGTACAGTGACGTTTCTGGGGTTTTTGTTGCGTCGCTAGTAGCTTGCTGTGTTTTGCGCTTGCAAATTTATAAAGGAAAATTATTCTAAGATCTCATTCAAGTATTTAAAATGTGCTAAAATTTCATAAATTCATCAAATAGTTATCAGATTTTTAGAAACTTAAAAGGTGAATGAGTCTAAAAATAAAATTATTGATTTATCCTCTACCATTAAAAAAGAAATTTTGCTTGAACGTATATTTCACAAAATCCATGATCAGCAATATTAAAGATTGATGCATATCCATGATTGTTAATCACGGTAAGGTAATTTTTACTTTCTCATATCTATGATTACCGCTCTTGTCTTCATTTAAGTGAGGTGAGAGTGTTCATCCACGACTGCAATATTTTATCGACAGAAACAATACAGTGATTGTTGAGCAAGTAAACGATTTCTTATTTGTTAATGATTTTATTATTATTTAAGGGTAAGATAATGCTTTCTGGGTATACTTGCGATCATTTGATTTACATAGCTAATGGGTATGGATTTATCTGGTGCAACATTGATACGTTAAAAAATATATGATACAAATAACTCTACATATTGTCAATAGTGTATTATTGTGTTGTGAATATGCTATCAATAGTTGTCGATATACTGTATTGTGCAGGATGATTTGTAAGAATGCTTATACTACTGGAAAACATGTATTATGTTATGTTTTTTTTTCATATAGGGGACATTTTATATATTATTCTTAAGCATTTGATACAAGCTTTTTTTGTTAAAAAATTTTAATTGTACCTTATAAGACTAACCTGTGGTGCAGAATGACCTCTATAGGAAAAATATAAAATTCCTATGGTGGCTATTGAGTCACTGTAACAACATGAAGGAGCACGAAGCCATGCCCTTGTTAGAAAGATTTCAAGAAATGAAGAAGAGAAAATAGAAGATTATTGATAGAACTTTAGGATATAACTTTATTGATAATTATGTCCTTTTATATAGTTAGCCCATTTCGTATGGTTAACTTAGACAATGTTATTATAAATGATGATTACAAGTTTGTAAATGTGGCAAATAGTTTGTTTTATTAATTAAATGTTGACAAGTGGACAACTGTGATTGACGAGTGGTTTTTACTTTATTGATAAGCTATGCATTTGTTATTGACTAGTGCTGATACATTAGGTGCTGTTATTCCCTTTAAAAATCAACAAACTACAATAACTTGTTGATTACTTGTTGTTGTCAATTGACAAGTAGTTATCACTATATGGATGAGTTATGCATTTATCATTGACAAGTGCTGATACATTAGGTGATGTTATTCCCTTTAAAAATCAACAAGTTACAAGAACCTATTAATTATTTGCTGTTAACAATTGAGAAGTGATTATTACTATATTGACAAGCTATGCATTTATCATTGATAAGTGCTAATACATTAAGTGCTGTTATTCGCTTTAAAAATTAATTAATTATAAGAACTTGTTGACCACGTGTCATTGGTCATTGACTACAAGCTATTACTATATTGACAAGCTATGCATTCACCATTGATAAATGTTAATATATTAGATGTTGTTATTTCCTTTGAAAATCAACCTGTTACAAGAACCTGTTGACTATTTGTTGTTGGCTATTGATTACAAGTTATCATTATATTGACAAACTATGCATTTTTTATTGACAAGTGCTGATACATTAGGTGCAATAATTCCCTTTAAAAATCAACTAGTTACAAGAACCATTGATTACTTGCCATTGGCAATTGACTACAAGTTATCACTTCATTGATAAGCTATGCATTTTTCATTGACAAGTGCTAATACATTAGGTGCAATAAATAAAAAAAATAAATTCCAGTACATAAACAAAAAAGTATGCTTGTCTCCGATATTTTCTAGCATGGATTAAGATTTTTGTAAGTCTTGGAGGTATGACCAATCTCATGGCATCTTGCACAATGATAAACCCTTTTGTTTTGGATTTGAGATTCTCTTCTTTTACTCTTTGACTTACCCGAAAGCCTTATAGTCATTGGTAGCTTCAAGCAGGTTTGGGTTAATAAATTTGTCACCGTCAATACTTATGGATATGGACAGTGATGTGTGGCTACCGAACTCATGTTGCTGGCGTATATCTTATGTTGAGCGGTAAACTTGTAACATTAATCCACAAAATTGTACACATTGTCATAAACTAGCTTGATTGTTGCACATGCATGTGCATAAGGTATTCTACTTATTTACCATGCTAAATAAGAGCATGTATGTACTACTCATTTGATAATATCGTTATTGTCAATCCTTCATATATTGTCCGTTCCTTTATTGTTCTTGTTCTGACACTACTCCCAATATATTGTATACTTCCTTAGTCATAATTTTGAAAATATCCCTTATATGAAAAAAATATAATATATGTTCGTTAGAAGAACTTGCCATCTTACAAGTCAATCTACACCACACATAGTGTTTTGACAACTAAACACAGTATAACAACAACACATTCATCCACTATTGATAAGATGCAGTGTTGTTTCATAATAAAGATTTTTTAACAAAATAAGCTTGCATCACATGCTTGAAAATAATATATAAAATGTCCCCTATATAAAAAAACGTAACATAATGAAAACATTCTTACAAGTCATCTTACACAATACAGTGTATTGACAACTATCGATAGCATATTCACAACACAATAATACACTATTGACAACATATAGAGTTATTTGTATCAGATATTTTTCAACGTATCAATGTCGCACCAGATAAATCCATACCCATTAACTATGCAAATTAAATGATCGCAGGTATACCTAGAAAGCATTATCTTACCCTTAAACAATAATGAAATCATTAATACATAAGAAATCGTTTACTTGCTCAACAATCACTGTATTATTTTCTGTTGATGAAATACCGTAGTCACAGATAAACACTCCCACCTCACTTAGATGAAGACAAGGGCGGTAATCATAGATATGAGCAAGTAAAAATTACCCTACCGTGATTAACAATCATGAATATGCATCAATCTTTAGTATCGTTGATTATGTGTTTCATGAGATATGCGTTCAAGCAAAATTTTCTTTTTAATGGTAGAGGATAAATCAGTAATTTTATTTTCAAACTTATTCACCCTTAAGTCCCTAGGGATCTGGCAGCTATTTGATGAATTCATGAGACTTCAGTATATTTTGAATGCTTCTATGGGACCTTAGAATAATTTTCTCAATTTATAATTGATTGTATGTTTGCAATCAGTGTGACTAAATGAAGAATAAAGGTAGGGAAGAAGGATCGTGAAAGTAATTTAAAATTAAATAAGAATTAAAATATTTTTAAATATTACTGCAATGAGGAAATTAATTTAAAAATAAATTTAAATTGAAAATATTATAATACCAATCTTTCAATTTTTTTTATAAAAAAGATTGAAGCAAAATAGCCAATTACATTAGTTTACTTGAGATATTGGCATATTTTTTTTAGCTCAATAAAAAAAATTATGAGCATTTGTTAATTAATGAATGACTACTTATTGAAACATGATCTATATTTGTTCTTTCTCACAACTAAATTCTTTTAAATTATTAAAGTTGTCTATTAGTTAATGACTTCTTGTTAAATATAAATGGATACTTGTTCAATGAATAACTACTTGTTAAAACATGATCTGCATTTATCTCTTCCACAATCAAGTTCTTTTATATTATTGAACTTGTCAATTAGTAAATGACTTCTTAGTAAATGAGAACAAGTATTTATTAATTAATGAATGGTTACATGTTGAAGCATTATCTATAATTATCCTTTCCTATAACCAAGTTTTTTCATATTTTTAAACTTGTTAAGTAGCAAATGATTCCTTATTAAATGCAAATGAATGCTTCTTAATTCATGAATGGCTACATGTCAATTTTAAAAAAAAAGTAAGGTTATTATAGTTTTTTTCATCTAAAATTATTTTCAAATTAATCCTCTAATCTTGCAGTGATATTTTAAAATATTTTAGTTTTTGGTTGATATCAAATAGACTCGATGGTTCTAGAATGATGTTTTTTCATGAACATACGAAACACTCATAATTATATTTTTTTATTAATTCATATTATTTTCAGCAAATTAATTTTTTTTGTCAAAATTCTTGGCAAGTAAATTTATATGCGGGTATAATTTAAAATGTAAGAGTGTAATTACATTTTCCATCAAGTGTTGATCATTATTTTTTTGATGACCCTAGTTCACTCATCGTTATATATCTGTTGTCAATCATTACTTTAGACATTGTTTTTTGATCATGGTTTTTGAGTCTGGCCCCATCTTTTTAATGATAATAATTAAAAAAAACAATAAGTTAACTCGAAGAGTGATGCATGTTGTCCTTGTTTGAGAAGAATTCTTCGCAAAAACTATTTGCTTATTTTTAGTGGCATATCTAAAGAAAAAGACATACAATCTTTGTTTTTTGATGAAGACACTTTATATACAAACACTGCCTTCACCAACACACAAAAGCATGATCAACATCCTCAACCTTGAATTGAGGATGAATTCTTTAATTTTGGAACTAGGGACATCTTAATCCAGGTGGTGGCCTTCTAAAGGAAATTGGTTTAGACTCTGACATTGGAGGCTCCGTTAATTATTCTGATGTTGCGGCTTGTGAAAATATCATTCATGATAGGCAAAGAAATTGGACGAGAGGCTTTATTAGATTTCTTGATTATTATCTTAACACTAAGGCTGAGCTCTCAGACATTCTTGAAAGCTTTATCCTTTATTGAAATATTGAAATCCACAAAGCCAACATCTAGATTGATTTTCTTGAAACTCTAATGCTCATCAATAATTAAAAATCAAAAATCTTATCATGCAAAATTAAATTGCTACCTTCGACCAAGCTTTTAGATATGCTAATAAATGCATGAATTAACTAGCTCATGAGATGCTTCACAATTCTCATGGTATCATTATTTGAACTTTCCATCTCATTGATGCATAAGCTTGTTAATTT